CGGCCTTTAGTCACTGGTCCCTCGGACCGCGGGCCCCGCCTCCTCGCCCGCTCCGCCAGCCAACGTAGAAGGAGCTCAGCCCGAGTGCGTGGGGGCTACACCTGTAACGGGCGACCGTCACCTGAGCTTCATTGGACACGCCTTCATCGCCACCCACTAAGCGCCAGTCACTGTTCCAGGTGCCCGTGATGCAAAGTAGAGATCAGTGCGCCCCTGCAGTTAAAGAAATAAGCCCTGGCAAAATATAACCAAAGACACTGAGATACAGAACAGGCTCACAGGGACCAGAGGGGGGAGGGAAGGGAATTTCAGGGGGAAAAGGGGAGGGATTTGGAACTGGTATAAAGGACACACGGACAAAAACTAACAGGGGTGGAAATGGGAGGGAGGTGGGGAGCACTGGGGGGGGGCGGGATGGGAGTAAAAGACAGAAAACTGTACTTGAACAATAATTAAATAAAGAAAAGGAAAAAAGAAAAAGAAATAAGCCCTGGTGGAAATAAAGGGATTCTGGGTGCGGGTCGCGATTGTGAACACAGGGGTCAGGGAAGCCTGCTGGTCCTGACGTGACATTCACGCTCCAGGGCCTAGAGGGGATGAGGGAGGCGGCCTGGGCGGTGGCTCGGGGGAGAGGGGCCAGGAAGCAGGAGCAGAAGCCCCACCGCCTGGTGAGCAAGGACGGGGAGGAGGGTGGTGGGGCCGCTGGGGCTGGAGCAGAGGAAATGGGGGAAAGGGCGGGTTAGATGAGGTCTTTATTTTAATTTTTTTAAAAAAATTATTGATTGATTTTAGAGAAAGAGGGAGAAGCGGGGAGAGACATCGATTTGTTGTTCCACTTATTTACGCCTTCTTTGGCCGACTCCCAGTACGCGTCCTGACCAGGGAACCACCTGCAACCTCGGTGCATCCAAACGATGCTCTAACCAGCTGAGCTACCCGGCCAGGGCTAGGTTGGGGTGGGGGGGTGCCCTTCGAATTGCTGCTACTTTGGGATATAGGGTTGCCAATGGGACTCCCAGTTAAAGTTGACTTTGAGATAAACAACTAATACCAGTTTAGTATAAGTATGTCCCAAATATTGCATAAGGCATCCTTGCGTGGAATTACTTGCTAAACCTGGCAATCCGGTCAGGGCCAGGCCAGAGAGGAGCGTTTGACCAGAGAAGTGACTTGGTCGTGAAATGCGACATGAGTTTGGAAGTAGCTCATGCGTCGGTGTGACTCGTATTCCAGACAGTTCGCCGGGCTCTGAGCGTTCAGGTGAAAGCGAAGGGACAAGATGGCTGCCATCACCCGCGGCTCCCTCCCCCCAGATGTTACCAACATTTTTCATTATTATTATTACTCCTCCTCCTCCTCCTCCTCCTCCTCCTCCTCCTCCTCCTCCTACTCCTACTACTACTACTACTACTACTACTACTACTACTACATTCAGACCCTATTCCTTTGGAGTGAATACTGTCAGTTGCCCACCCAGCAACTAGTTCAGGATTTATTCGAGTCCTAGTTAAAGTGAGACAAAATGAAGACATTTTACAGACACTAAAAAAGAGCAAGGAGACACGTAGGAACCATTTGAAATACCATTTGCAATTATTTAGGGATAGGCTTATGATAGAATATTAAGTACAAAAAGGGAGATTAAAAATTATATTCTTTTAAGCAAAATTACAATGAATTCCATATATATAAAATATATATATATGGGGTGTGTGTATACACACATACACACACATACACATATACCTATACAGTGAAAAAAAAATTGGCAGGAAGGAGGCCAAGACCCTAGCGGCGCTTATTATCGGGCAGTGGGGAATTCGGTGGTTCTGTCCTTTCTCAGGTTTTCTGTTATTTTCTAAGCTTTATTTAGCAATACCAAAAGCTGTGGATACACGAAGTTTCCAAGCTGCGAAAATTCTCGACGATTAAAAAATAGCATTGAGATGCAATGTTTGGAAACCTTTCTCCCGAGCTAAGGCTCCAAAGTGCAATTTGCATTTTCTCTGTGAAAGCCTCCCATTCGCTCTAAGAAGCCGCCTCCCTTCTGCTCGAAATCTCCGGGGTCTCAGGTTTTTCCCCGGCGAAAGGGAACCACGAAAGGCACTGCGGAAACCGGATGGGAACTGGCGCCGCGCAGTCAGGCTGAACGCTCATGGCTGGCTGGGCCAGCCCAGGCCTGGAGTCCTCATAGATGCGCTGGCGGCGCCTCAACGCCAGCCGGCCGGTTAGCTCAGTTGGTTAGAGCGTGGTGCTAATAACGCCAAGGTCGCGGGTTCGATCCCCGTACGGGCCAGGTGTGCTTTAACTTTTCCACTCGTAAATCCAGTTACTGGTCGCTTTACAACTACTGGAATTTTGAAAAATACTCTTTTCCAGAGCTGCAGGCTGCGTGCAAACAAGAGAGAGTCGCGGAATGATTCCGCGCTGGACCTCCAGTTTGTCGCGGACGGTCCCCGCCGGTCCTGCGCGCCGCGGCCGCCCTGCGGGGCCTTTCCAGGGTGCTCTCAGGCGGGGCCGCGCGTTGCTTCCCCCCGCAGGGCTTCCGAGGGCCCTCGGGGAGACTCCGGGCTTCTGGGGTTCTCAGGGCTGAAAGCCAGACTTGGAGTTCATTCCCCCGGAAACGTGGACGCGGAGCCGAGGGCGTGGCCCGCCGCGTCCGGGGCGGGAGCCGCTCCGGAGGGGGGGACCCCGGCGCCTGCCCCCGTGCAGGTGGCGCCACTCGCAGAGCCCGGCGGTCTCGCTGCGGACGCCTGGTGAAGCCTCCTCTCGCTCGTTTGTTGCTTTTCAAAGAGCCTGGGCTTCCCATTTCCCCCTCGCGGGTCCGCAGTTTGCAGCCAGTCGGCAGCTGGGTGAGTTTCTCACTCGCGCTCAGGGCTGCAGGTGCGGTCCGGCGTGTTTACTTGCACAGAAGCCAGCTTTGCGGGGTGTCGTTTTATATCGGGGTGCAGCAAGGGCTCCAGCCACTTTGGAAAATCTCCGGCGAGAACGTCTACTACGCCACTCATTCCTTTCTCAGGCAGGTGTGGGCCCTGACTCAAGTCACAGCTCAGGCAGGACCGCCGGCGTAATGACACCCCAGGCGGGGGCTCCGGGCGTCGTGCGGCTGCGCCGGTGCCCACTGACGCCGGCGACCGGCCCGCTGTCCCCGTGCACGGCCGGTTAGAAGGAGAGCCTGGGCTGCTGTCACCCGGTCAGACTCCGGCAGGTCGCGTCTGCGTCAGGCTCCTTGCCACAAGCAGGGGCGCACAGAGCAGGAGGCAGCCGAGAGGGCTGCCGGCAGAGTGCACGCTCTCCTGAGCCAGGCCTCGAAGGGGTCCACGCTATGCCTCTGGGACGGAAGAAGTATTTTGAGCAGAAGGCATTTGAGTTCCCGAACAGTCTTTTCTGCCAAAAGGCGGAGCCTTCCGAAAGAATTCGAGAGGATTCAACCTCCCTCAATCGCCTTGCCTTGGGGCCCTCATCGCGGGAGGCGGTTCACGGAACCGTGCAGGCCCCAAAGGCAGCCCAGCTCCGCGCTCCTCCAGGAGGGGCGCGTTCACCTGCTCCAGCAGTCGTTCATTTCCCCGAGTGCCCTTCTCTCCTTCCCTCCCCCACGAAAACAGTGTAAAAGCCGCGCCTTCCACCTGCCTGAGTCACGTTTTCCTGGGAACTCTGGTAGGTACATTAATTTAAAAAAAAAAAAGTCAAATTTTTGTCTCTTCTCTTGTAAATTTGTCTTTTGTCCTTTTAATTTGCAGATCCCCGCCCGCCCCCAAATAACTTAAATGGGTAGAGGAAAAGTTTTTCTTCCCCAAAATTTGAAAAAGTGACAAAATGGGGTCCTAGATGAAGGGGCACCTTCTTGGCTTAGGGGTCAGAAGGAACCTTTCCGACATCCGAGGACGGGAGGATGAGGAGGGCTTTCTTGTAAAACTTTATTGAAACAAATTCCACAGTCTGACCTCCCCTCTGGCCAATCCTCAGTGAGGCCCCTAGTTAATTGAATTAGAGCTCTGCAGAGGGCACAGTGAATGTAACAAGGGTACCGATGACGGTGGTGGTGATGCTGCTGCTGATGGTCCTGTGGAGAGAAGTGATCCAAAGAGCCTTCCAGAGCCTCTCTCCCACCAGCCTTCCCCTCAGCCTCCCCCTTTAAGGGTGTGATGGTACTCATAACATACTGCAGATGCCAGTTTCCTCCTTCTACTTCCTGCCAAAACTGACCTGCAGAAGGCAGGATATCCAACAGAGCTGAAGAAGTATTTGTTGACTTATGGCCCTTCTCTCTCCTCTTTGGAGAGAGAAGCTGAGACCGACCGATGCACACCGGCAGCTACAGGACTCACGGAGCCAGGAGAGCAGAGTGGGAAATGCTGGGCTAAAGGACAGGGGGCGGCGGAGCTGGGGACCGAAAGTGCAGGAGGGTGGGAAGCTTCCTTAGTTGGTCCTCCCATTTATTCATTCATTCATTCCTATTCATCCACCCATCATTCCTTCCCTGAGGCGCACTCTGGGCCGGGGCTTGTGCGCCCGGTCTGAGTGAGTGGCTAGAGTGGGGTGGGTCGCCCTGGGAACAGTTTGGGGGCTGGGAGTACACTCGTTAGAAATGCACATTTAGAATTCCTTCCCAGATCTATTAACTCAGAAGGTCTGGAGCTGGGGACCACGAATCCACAAGTCCAGACAGGATCCTCAGGAAACTCTGATGCGCGTGCCGTTGAGAATATTTGGATAGTGTGACGTCAGGTCGGGGGCGCTGGCTCCCCGAAGATCTCCGCCCACGAGACCCTGGACAGGTCCTGGAGGAGGTGACCTCCCGAGGTTAAGGCCACGGCAGGCGTCTCTCCATTGGCTGATTGTGTCCTCGATATAGCGGGGAGAGGCGTGGCCCTCCAAGGCCCCGCCCACAGCCCGCTGCTGCTGCGGCCGCCTTCCGAGGTTTCTTGGCTTTCCGGGCACTCGTAGCCGCCCCTTTTCGAGCTGACGCACATTAGAGCCGCCGGCACTCAGCACCCGCGGTTCGAATCCCCGCGTCGGCCGCCATGGCGGGCGCTGAGCCGGAGGCTGAGGGCAGCGGCGAGGGCGGAGGTGGCGGCGGCCGGGCTGTCCCCGCGCGGGGCGGCAGCGCCGTGCGCGTGGCCCCGCTGGGCCCGGAGCAGCTGCGGCGGGTCCTGGAGCGGGTGGCGAAGGCGCAGCCGCCCGCCAAGCCGCCGCCGCCGCCGCCCTTCGGGCTTCAGGACGCGGTGCGACGGCTGCGGGACGCGGCCCAGCAGGCCGCCCCGCAGCGGGGCCCGGGCGCCGAGCCCCCGCGCCCGCCGCGCCCGCTGCCGCCTCAGGTGAGGCGCCGGGAGGGACCGGGGGGAGCCGAGGCCGGGGGTGGGCGCGCCTCCGCGTCGCCGCGATGGCCTCGCCCGCCCGCCCGGCGTCCGCCGCGGCTTCAGCTCGCCCGGCCCGCGGACGAGTGCCGCTCGGGCCCGCGGCCCCTGTCGCACGCCCCTGTGGTCCATTCCGCTCGTATTGGGACCTGTGTGTACGCGCCCTACGCGGAGAGCTCGGGACAGGTTCCGGGAGTGACGAGGGGCCGCCGCGGAGCGAGCCGTCCCCAGGCCTGACACCGGAGACCTGGTTAGGTGGCAGGTGCCGCGACTCGGGACGGAATTAAGTACATGGTGGTGCTTGGCGCGGGACTTGGCACCGTGGGTTTGTAACTCGGTGCCCAGCACGGCGCCTGGCACGCGCTTCGTGTGTGAAATGTGCAGAAGCACTCGGTACACGACAACACCCCATTTCTCAGTGGCGTCATCTCCGGGGACACACAGCTGTTGGCTCCTGGGGCAGGTGGGCCTGCGGCAGGGGCTCCCAAGCCCAGAGGGTCCAGTGTAGCCCCGGAGACCCAAGACAACTGTGATTCTGCCCATATGCTTCCCAAAGCTGTGACTTTGGGTAACAACCTCTTGGGCTTCTGGTTTCCTTATTTGCAAGAGGGATGGTTCATCGGGTGAGTTTCCTGGGTCTTACTCTGCCGTGGACACCAATGCCTCCCCGTAAGCTGAGCACAGCAAGTCCTTGGAGTCGGAATGGGGACCGTGGCTGCTGTTTGCGGCGGCTGCTGGGGCCTGGCACTGTGCCGGGCTGCCTGGTTCTCAGCTCGCAGGGAAGCATTTGCATTAGCATTTTACCGATGAGGAACATGGTCAGAGAGGCCGAGGAACTTGGCCCAGGGTCCCCCAGATGTGGCTGCATTCCAGGGCCTGTTGAATGTGGTCACAGCTTTTTGGGTTTGGAGTGGCAACTTAGGAAAAAGTCCAAGAATGACATTTTCCGTCAAATGAAAGCAAAGCCAATTAGAGTTAGGCAGCCCGATTGTTTCTGTAGCTAATCTAATCAGGACGACCTAAGTTCTGCCTGAATTCACAATAATGTGATCGGACCGCCCATCCAGCTAATACTCGCTGAGCCCCAGCTGGGCCAAGGAGGCCTGGAAGGCAAACCGGATGGGGCCTTGCCCCTGGGGAGGTTGTCATCTAACCAGGGAGGTAAACGGGCCTCAGGTAACTTCTGACCACAGAAGGCTAGAAAACAGTCTTAAAAGAAGGGAGAGGCCATTTCTGGCTGAGGGACCAGAAGAAACTTAGTGGCACAGGTGGCATCCGAACTATATTTGGAAGGGTGGGTGCCCTTTGAAGATGCTGGGGCTGAAAGGCAGGGTTGGGGTGGGTGGGGGGTGAGGGTCAGAAGGCAAAGGCCAAGCGGATACACACTCCAGAGGGTCAGAGTTCGGCTCGAGTCCCTCCCACTGCTCCCCCGACCCTCCCCCTGTTCCTGCCCCACAGAGGCATTGCTTCCTTCTCTGACAGGCCGGGCCCTGTTGTTTCTCCCTACACCTAGAATGTAGAATGCCTTTTCACCTGGCAGCAATTCTGCTTGGCCTCCTGGCCTCAGCAGAGGTCGCCTCTCAGCGCAGGCAGGGAAACTGCCTGCCTCCCCAGGGGGCGGCGGGGCTTTGCTCACGTTCACCTGTTGGTGCCCAGAGAGGCCCAGTAAATGTCCCTGAATGAAGTAAACATGCAACAAAGCGCCCCATCGGATGCCCACACAGTAAACTAGTGTCCACGGCAGATTAAACATTCAGACCACTTGCCACTGTGACAGCCCTCGAACTACAGGGTTTGGTGCATGCACACAGGGTGTACCTGTGCATGCGTGTGTGTGCACACGTGTGTAAGGGTTTAATGCCCTTACCAGGTAATGGTCTTAGAGCTTAGAAAAACATTTTAAGAAACACAGTAAAATGAAACATATGTGGTTCTCAAAATGCAGTGTAAATCTAACTCGTTTTTATCGGCCTCCAGTTAGTAAAAGGGGGGATCTAAAGAGGGCCTGTTGGTGGCTCCAAATCAGTGGTTCTCGTGTGGGGACACCGGTAACGTCTGGTTGTCGCAGTGCGGGGGGTGCTACTGGCATCCCATGGGCAGAGGCAGGGCTGCTCCTCAACATCCTGCCATGTGCAGGCGGTCCGCACGACAGCATTACGGGCCCCGAGTGCCAGCCTTGCGGGGTTGGCAAAGCCTGCCCAGGCTGAGGAGGTTCATCTCTCCTCTCCCCCGGGAGAGGGACGCTCATTATATCCGCTCCGCGAGGACAGGGATGCTGCTGCGCCGCCCCTGCCTTGAGGCTGGGACAGCTGTGTCCCTGACACCCAGACCATTACCTCGGGCACGTCCTCACTGCCCAGTAACTACTTGTGGGTCGTTGTGGGTCGCAGCACTCCCCTTCGGTGGGCCCCTTGCTGTTACAGACGGTGCTGCCTGCAGTCTCCTGGACGTGTGTCCTTGTGCCTGTGCGAGGGTTTCTTACAGGATTCAGGAAGCGGAATTGCTGGGCCAAAAGCACATGCATTTAGAATTTTGTTAGGTGTTTTTTAAAAAGCTCGTTGAAGATATTACAGCCCTACTCCTAGTTGTGTGCCCCAGAGAAACACACACACACCTATACATACACACACGTGCATGAAGGCTCCCAGCAGACCTTCGAGTGCAGGGTTGGAGACCACCGGTCCATGCTCAGGACAGTGCTGTGGTCACACGGCCGGGAAGAGGAACCCCCGAGAGCCACACGCCTCAACATGGATGCATTTCACCAGCCACAGAGCGAGTGAAAAGCCCCACCAAGTTGCAGGAGGTGATATGCATTTATACAAAGTTTAAAAATGAGAAAACTACATATTTTTAGGGATGTCTACGTGTAATATAAAAACTGCACGAGGATGGTCAGCAGCGTATTCCAGTGGGGCAAAGGGAAGGGCGTGCAGCCTGGGAGGGCGGAGCAGGGCCAGAGGCGCCGGCGCTGTGGCTCAAGGCGGGTGTGAGGTCTTGTTCTTTATGGCTGTTAAAACTTAAAAAATGAGCCTACAGGTTGCGTTGAGTCCACTTTAGGGTACAGAATTCCAAGTAAATACACGTGTAAAACTATAAGAAAGAATATTTCTTAATAGGTCATGAAATAAATTCAATGCATTATGACTAGTACAGTAGATATAATTGGAGGCATTTATGCTGGAATGGTAAGTAGTTTCATGAATTTTTAACATTATTTACATATGCAAATGTTTCTGTCCTAACCTATGGATGTGAAGGAAAATACGTCACTCTGATCAGAAAGAGTAGGAAACATCACTGTACAGAGTACGGATCCGTAGACTTTTGTGTACATGAGATGCATTTTATAATTTAGAAAACCTTTCAATAGTGGATTTAAGATGAGAACAAAATGGCGGGGCCGTTGGTAAGCTGAACACTTCTTCTCTCTTTAAGCGACTGGAAGCCGTCTGCGTCAAGGCAACACCTGGAGAGACAAGAGGCCGGGAGAGGCCGAAGCCCCAACAGGCCGCCGTCCAGCCCAGGACGGCCAGGCCGAGCCAGCTGCCCGGGCGGCACTGCGGCGCACTGGGGCCCGGGGTCACCAGTCCTCAGCTGCTCGGGGCGCCACCCCTCCTGAGCGCCCAGCCACAGCCACCTGTTCAGGTGCTTGCACAGAGGCCGCTGCCTGCCCTCCGACCGGTCCCTGCAAAGAGAGCCGTGGCTCCCCTGGCTCCGAAGGGATCCGGTGCCATGCTGGCCCCTCGGTCCGCCTCTGACCCGCTGGCAGGGACACCTGTTTCATCCAGTTCAGCAAATTTATTTGTCCCCAACTTGCATATGAAACACACTGAGAGACTAAAAAAGTCTTTAAAGGTGAAAACACGTTCTGGGCGGATATCTCGACCTCCCAAGTATAAAGCCAAAGATTACAAATTCATAAAAATGGAGGACTTGGCCGACAGCCACCCGTCGGACTCGGACGACTATGCAGAACTGAGTGTGGAAGAGGAGGAGGAGCAGCGGGAAAAGTGGGCGCTCTTTGACCTGTCGAGCTGCTCCCTGCGGCCCAAAACCTTCAGGTGTCAGACCTGTGCAAAGTCCTACATAGGAAAGGGGGGGCTGGCCCGGCACTTCAGACTCAACCCGGGCCACGGCTCGCCCCAGCCTGCGATGTCGTCGTCTGGGAAAGCCAATGGGAGTGTGACCCAGGGCCTGCCGTCTGCACGGGATGGCCTGCAGGTAATGTTTCTGTCTGGTCACTGTTCTTGTCACTGCCTGTCACCCTTAAGTGAACCTTTGCGGTGTTTGAGGGGGGTCCAGGCAGAGGTTCACGCAGAAGCCAAGTCACCGTGTGGGGGACCCGAGGCCCCACCCGTCAGCCCCTCTGCCAGGTAAGCGAGGCGTGTCCTCTGGACGAGTGGGCGTGGGGAGCCTGTTTGTGGGAGTGCGGGGCCGCTTCTTCAGTCTGGTCGGTAAGACTCCTGGCTGCTCAGCCTTGATTGATGTGACAGTGGTTCTCGGGAAAGGTCGGGATTGGGGACAGCGGGCCACGGGTCGCTGCCTTGGGCACCAGCAGTGACGTGCTGCGCGTGTCCTTCCTGTGTTGCCCCTTCCAACACCATCCAGAACGGTCAGTCTGTAGAAGTCGAAGAGGCATCGGTGTCGGGACCAGCAGATGGAAGTTACTCAGCCCTTTCGGGAACAGAGAGACGCTCAGGACCCACTCGGGGCTGTGCCACGGTCCCTGCAGAGCCCAGCGCAGCCAGGAGCAGCGCCAGCCTCCAGGAGGTACGTCGCTCTTAGACTCTGCTCCTGCCTGGCGTGCTGTGTGGCAGTTCGCTGTTAGGCTTCTGAGTGTAAAAGTGAAACGCCCAGATGAGTAGACGGCTCACCTGGGCTGTACCTGGGGAGGGGCGGTAAACTCCAGGGCGGCACCACCTGCAGTCGGTCAGGTTCGCCCCTTTGCCACGATGGAGCGCCTCGCCTGCGGTGATAGCTGCTTGCCTTTGTCAGTTTGGGGAAAAGTATAGCCTGCGTTTCCATGGAGACTGTCTCGAAAACAACAGAAATGGGTTTCTTTTTTCCTTTCTTTTTTTGGTAAAAAGTTTCCAGGTAGAAGAGCATGTTTCAGGGTTGAGCCCTGGAATCTCCATTCCAGCCCCTGTGTGTCCCGCATGTGGTGGGACTGACTTGGAAAGCTGGGACACGACCTCACTCGGGTCGTCCTTGGCCGGGGTGTTGGCGTTTGCCTGGCAATGGCCAGTTGGGATCTGTTGTTTTTTACTGGGGAGGAATCTGTCTCTCTGGCCCCTACCATCAGGCCGGGTCCTCCCTCACTGAGCCAGCCTCTCACCATTTCCCAGCATGAATTCTTTGTTTTACTACATTTTATTGATTATGCCGTTACAGTTGTCCCATCCCCCCCCTTCACTCCCCTCCACCCTGCACACTCCCTCCCACCCATATTTCCCCCCTTTAGTTCATGTCCAGGGGTCGTACATACAAGTTCTTTAGCTTCTATATTTCCCATACTATTCTTACCCTCCCCCCTGTCTATTTTCTACCTACCATTTATGCTACTTATTCCCTGTACCTTTTCCCCCTCTCTCCCCTTCCCACTTCCCCACTGATAACCCTCCATATGATCTCCATTTCTGTGGTTCTGTTCCTGTTCTAGTTGTTTGCTTAGTTTGCTTTTGTTTTTATTTTAGGTGTGGTAGTTAATAATTGTGAATTTACTATCATTTTACTGTACATCTTTTTTAATCTTCTTTTTCTTAGATAAATCCCTTTAACATTTCATATAATAAGGGCTTGGTGATGATGAACTCCTTGAATTTGACCTTATCTGGGAAGCACTTTATCTGCCCTTCCATTCTAAATGGAAGCTTTGCTGGATAGAGCAATCTTGGATGTAGGTCTTTGGATTTCATGACTTGGAATACTTCTTTCCAGCCCCTTCTTGCCTGTAAGGTCTCTTTTGAGAAATCAGCTGACAGTCTGATGGGAACTCCTTTGTAGGTGACTGTCCCCTTATCTCTTGCTGCTTCTAGGATTCTCTCCTTCATTGGAATCTTGGCTACTGTAATGATGATGTGCCTTGGTGTGTTCCTGCTTGGGTCCAACTTCTTTGGGACTCTGAACTTCCTTGACTTCCTGGAAGTCTGTTTTCTTTATCAGATTGGGGAAGGTTTTTTTTTTTATTATTTGTTCAAATAACTTTTCCACCTGTTGCTCTTCCTCTTCCCCTTCTGGTACCCCTATAATTTGGATGTTGGAATGTTTAAAGATGTCCTGGAGGTTCCTAAGCCTCTCCTCATTTTTTTGAATTCCTGTTTCTTCATTCTGTTCTGGTTTAATGTTTCTTTCTTCCTTCTGGTCCACTCCATTGATTTGAGTCCCAGTTTCCTTCCCATCACTATTAGTTCCCTGTACATTTTTCTTTATTTCACTTAGCGTAGCCCTCATTTGTTCATCTAATTTGCCGCCAAATTCAACCAATTCTGTGAGCATCCTGATTACCAGTGCTTTGAACTGTGCATCTGATAGGTTGGCTATCACTTGGTTGCTTAGTTGTATTTGTTCTGGAGCTTTGATCTGTTTTTCTGTTTGGGCCATTTTTTAATTTGCCTTGACTCACCTATTTTGTATGAGGTGCGGAGCCTTAGGTGTTGACCAGTGTTGGTCAACCCAGTTGCTGGGTTGTGGTATTGTATGTGGGGCAGGTGTCTGAGAGGGAACAATGGCGCTTGTTCTGCTCTCTGATGGATTTTAGTCCCTTCTGCTGCTTTCCCCAAACAAACTGGGCCCTTCTGGTGCTGATTCCTGGGGAGTGGGCTTGTGTCTGTTCGAGGACCCTGCGGGTCTCTCCGACAAACTCTCCTGTGAGGCTGGGAGTCTCTCCCTGCACGTCAACCCTCACAGGTGTTTTCAGTCAGTGTTTTGAGGCTTCATTTCCCCTCTGGGGCCCTGGGTTGTGCGGTCTGTCCCGCTCCCCAGTTTCGCCTGGTTTATCTGCACGAGAATGTGGGACCACCCAGTCTGCCAGCCGCCTGGTGTGCCACATCCCTCCACAGTCCACTGCCACACTGGGTCCTCCAGCCGCCACTTTTTTAGCTGCAACCCCTGTCCACCCAGCCGCCCTACTCTGCTCCTCCTGCGGGTCTGATGAATGTGTCTACTTTTAACTCCTTGGTTGTGGGACTTCCATACAGTTCAGTTTTCTGTCGGTACTGGTTGTTCTTTTGTTTCTAAATTTTTGTTGTCCTTATTTTGGTTGTGCGAGGAGGCACAGTGTGTCTCCGTAAGCCTCCATCTTGGCCGGAAGTCTGCCAGTTAGAATCCTAATTGGGAGGTGAGACACAGAGAGAGAGTGATGCCTGGCCCCGAAGGAATGGCCATGGGGTTCCCGGGACACTCTGTGAGCCCGAGCAAGTTAGCTTCTCTGGGGGTGGGGAGACTTATTAATGAGCCCGGGTGACCATTTCTAGCAGCAGGAGCTGATGAGCTGCCCTCGGGCATTGGGCCCGCTCTGTCGCAGCTCCGCCACTAGCCCTGTGCTGGTTCCGGGCTCACCTTGGCCCACTGGTTCCATGGTCATTGTTATCTCGACCCGATGGATGAGGAGCCCGAAGCTTAAAGAGGTTAATAACTTGCACACAGTCACCCTGCAGGTGGCAGATGCAGAATCTGGGTCCAGGGTGCTGGGTGTCTCCCCTTGACAGGGCGTCTGGGACCAGTGGGGCTCGCCTGCTTGGTATGGCAGTGACTCTCACGTGGTGATCCCCCCTGCGGACTCACAGTGCCATGTCCTGCACACAGAGAGCCCAGGACCACTCTGACGAGACCACTCAGGCTTAGAGCGGGGAACCCCTCAGAAATGGGGCGCACACTGACCATCACTTATCAGGTCCTGTCATAGGTGTCGTAGGTGTAGAGGGCACATGTGCACAAGACAGACATGGCCCCCACTCTAGGGAAGGACGACAGCCACACCAATCGGCAACTGCCAGGCAGGCCCGAGAGGGGAGCCCAGGATAGAAGAGGTGCCCTGTCTGCTGCGGGCCAGGTGTGGCGAGGTAGCACCCATGTTCTGCCCTTCCGCACCTTGGCCAGTGTCAGCCGCCAGTTGGTCATTTTCCCATAAGGGCTTTTGCAGGTCGTTCTGTTTCCCGACCACCTGCTGCTCTCTGATCTCCCTGCAGCCCCTGTGGCCCCTCAAGGTCACTCCCCAGCATCCCAGAGCCTCCTGAGACTTTTCATCACTAAGCCCCGAGCGCTGCACCCTCCCTGCATCTCCTGATACCCACCCAGTCCTCATCCTCTCACACCTGCATTTGGCTCAGGCGTCCCGACTGGCCGCCTCGGGATGCATTTGCATTTTCGGCTCTGGTGCTGGCTGGAGCCCCGGAGAGGAGAGCAGGCGTGTCCCCAGTACCCCGTCCTCGTCCGGAACCCCACCCCTCACGTGCCCAGGGCTGTTGTGGAGGCATCAAACTCTCTGAGGCCAGGACTGATCACGGGACTGTGCCGGTGGGTGGGCAAGGGGCTGCTCACCACAGCAGGACGGTCACGGTGAGAGTCGCTTCGCTGCTAAGGTTGGGGGACTTTCTGCCTCCTTTGTTTATTGCACCAACTGGTTGGCTCCTGGGAGGTGCTCGTGGGCTCTCAGAGGTGTGAGACTCCTTCTTCCGGTAGTTTCTGCACCAGTGCGACCGGCAGGACCTGGTGGAGTTGGCCCTGCCCCAGCTGGCGCAGGCTGTGACTGTGTATGAATTTCTTCTGATGAAGGTGAGTTGTCTCCATGTTTCTAAATGATCTAGGGGATGATTAGAAGTTACGTAGAATGAGCCAGGCCTTCTAGAATCACTTCCCTCCGGGGTAGAGCTGAAGTGAGGCTGCTGGACCTGCCGGATGCCTGGGTGGGGCCGCTGCCTACATGGCCAGGTCTCTGGCAGGCCCCTCCTGGACCCCCGTGTCTGCTCTAACTCTGTGTGGGAGGCACCGAAGGGGAGCGGCAAACCTCAGCCCCCGCCTCGCCGCCGCCTCCTCTATACGGGGCTCTGCGCCCTGGTGAGCCCACTCGGATGAGGCGGCCCAGCTGCCTGCAGCCCCACTTCCCACCTCCAGGCCGGGACCTCCTCCCCCCCAGGCCCTCGAACACGCCTGTCCTCAGGCCCTTCGCTGGGACACGGCAGGCTTTCCCTGGGGCCTGCAGGACACCCCTGCCTTTGCCGGGCTGGGCCGAGGCCTGAGGAACCCGTCTCCTTCCGTCCTTTAAGTCTCTGTCTGTGTTGTCCATGTCACGGCCCCGGGCGTGAACCTCGTTGTCATCTTGACCTTCACTAAGGTTCACAAAGACCATCTGGCAAAGCCTTTCTTCCCAGCCGTGTACAAGGAATTCGAAGAGTTGCATACGATGGTGAAGAAAATGTGTCAAGATTACCTCCGTAGTTCAGGCCCACGTTCCCAGGAGCCCCTGGAAATAAACAACAATGAGGTAATGGTCTCACGGGGGACAGTGTTCCCCATAGAGCTCGCGGAGGGAAGGGCGTCCATTACAAAGGGGAGAGTGTTTCTGTAGTGATGCGCTCGTCGTGGCTTCTTTTTAGCTCTTTTCTCGTCAAGCACAGGTTTTTCTCTTCCTATAACAATGATAAATGCTTTTTTTTAAAAAAAAAAGAAAACTCAGGCCCTGGCTGGTGTAGCTAGCTCAGTGGACTGAGCACCGGCCTTCAAACCAAAAGGCCACTCACTGGTTTGATCCCCTCTTTCTCCTTCCCTTCCCCTCTCTCTAAAAATAAATAAATATTTTTTAAAAACCCTTAGAAGTGCAGATAAGGTAAAAGAAAATCAGCAACACCAGCCCTGGCTGAGTGGCCCAGGTGGTGTGTGTCGTACCGATGCGTCAAGGTTGCAGGTTTGATTCCCCGTCAGGGCACATGCAGGTGTCAACCAAGGATCAATAAGGGGAACCACAAATCACTGTTTCTCTCCCCCCCCCGCCCCCATTTCCCCTTCTCTAAAAATCAATAAATAAGAAAACAGCAGCACTGTAATCCCCTCCCTCACTCATTATCAGAGTTTTCTTCATTACGCAGGTTTCTGGGGGTGGGTTATAGAGAGGTCATAGTTATTGTTTCATTTCATTTTTAGAGAGGGGGAAGGGAAGGAGAGAAGAAGAGAAACATCAGTGTGTGGCTGCCTCTCATGCGCCCCCTACTGGGGACCTGGCCCACAACCCAGGCATGTGTCTGACGGGATCAAACCAGTGAGCGGCCTTTTGGTTTGAAGGCCGGTGCTCAGTCCACTGAGCTACACCAGCCAGGGTGGACACATGTTTTTAAAAAGACACATTTGACTTATTGTGGACCAGTTCTTTGCTGGGCGTGGCATGCACCATGTGGTCAGTGGTCAGGTCATTCAGGGGCTGTCCCCAGCCAGCATGGAGACGCAGCGCTGCACCCCCACTGCCCGAGCCTGTGAGCCTTCTATTTTCTCTGTCAGAGTCCCCACACAGTCTGCAGGGCGGCCCTGTCAGCCTGGTAGACGCTACACTTGCAGGTCCCCAGTCTCCCCTCTAACCTGGCCGTGCCCTCGCTTCCCTGCCCCGCCCCCACCTGCTGTGTTTTCTGTCCATGAGGTCCGTGCATGAAAGCCGGCAGCTGTCGCTCATGACCTTCACACCTGCTGCTGCACATGTGGAATCTGATGTGACCCTCACCTCCCCCTTCACGGCCTCCGTGGTCTCAGATGGGCGGCTGCCGAGGTCCCCCAGGCCATGAGCAGAGACGCTGGCCCCAGCTTCGGGCCCCAGCCTCCCACACCCATGCACTCCCCACCAGCTGGCAAAGGAGATCTGGTTCCAGAGATGGCAGGGCTGTTTTTCTGAGGGAGGCGGGACAGGCCAGAAAGTGACATTGTCTTAGAAAACCGTCTCAGTGTCTCTAACTTGCTGACCCAGAACGTCTGGCCCCGATCACAGCCCATGTCACCACCAGTTTCCCCATCGAACTGGGTGCAGACCTCATTTTCCTCAGAGTCTGGGCGGTGCCCCACGGGACACAGGGACTCCACAGGTGTGCACGCAGGCCTTCAGTCCTCACGCCTCGCTCTTCCCAGGTCGCCGAGTCCCTGGGCATCACCGAAGGGGTCCTGCGGAAGAGAGGGACTCACACTGATGGCGTCCCACACACGTGTGACAGCCACAGGTCGGCAGGGCCAGGGCCCGAGACAGCAGTTTCGAGAAAGAGGGAGAGCGAGGTGGGCATGGCACCGGGGCTCCTGGGGGGGTGGGAGCCACGGTTTTGCTTCTTGAACTCCCCAGGAGGAAGAGGTGCTGGCCTGCCCGCTTCCTGCTAGTCTCAGCTGTTTGGGTCTTCTCTTCCTAGACTGCAGAGGCGGGGCTGGCCTCAGCGAAAAGGACCAGGAGCGCAGCTCTGCCCAGGGAGTCCATTGCGTCTTCTGCAGACAGCGGAGACCAACGGAGGCCAGCCGGGGGTGCCCTGGGGGCCAGCGAGGGTAAAGTGCTTGTTGTGGTTGGGCCCGAGGCTCAGAGGCCTGCTTTTCAGGGTTGGTGCCTCTGTGGCCGCGTCTGAGAGCCCTCTGGTCCCTCCAGACCTTGATTCCAGTGCCCTCATGTTTTAGAGCTGCCGTGGTGGAGGGTGGTGGAGGGTGGTGTGGGGCCCGAGAAGCTGGGCAGCGTCGAGAGCAGGGCCAGCCCCAGGGTGCCCTGAGTCTGTGGTGGGCTTTTGCAGACTCTGCTCTAGGTGCCAGCTGAGATCTAACCTGTGAAAACGAGGCATATGCTGGCTTTCATTCCTGCGCTAGCCAGAACCCATCGGTTTGCTTCTGAGCAGGGCGCATGCTGAGAGTAACAGTCAGCTTTCCGAGAGCTGCTCGGGGCCACCTTCCTGGGGCAGGGGTCTCAGGTGTGAGGAAGGGGCATCCTCCATTTTCGGACTTATGACCTAACTCTCTGGTGGATGGGCCAGTGGGTTCATTCGTGAGAGCAGTGAAAACCCTGGCACCCAGCTCCCCTCGCCTCCAGCCTGCGTTTCCACTCGCAGCTTCACCTGCACCGGGAAGCTCCCATTCCGAGTTGTGAGGAGAGTTTGTGTATCACCCCCTTTTTTTTGCAACAAATTTAATGTAGACCAGCTTATCTGGATGGTGAGTGCAGTGAGCAGGCCCTAACAGGGCTCATGTGTGACCCGTTTTCCCTGCTGTTTAGGTTCTGGCCCTCGAGTGGGCGGGAGCGCCTGTCTGGGTCCTGAAGAGGGCCACACGACACCAGTTTCTGACCTGGACCGCAGCGCGCCCCAGGCGGGCGGGCAGCTGAAGGCACTTGCTGACTGTGCAGCCCGCAGCGGGTCTGCAGCCCCCACCCTCTCTCACCAGGATGTCAGTGGGCCTGGTCTCCGGGCTCAGATGGGACGGCCTGGCACGCCAACCCTGGAGCAGGTGGTAGTGTTCCCCATGGAGAACGCTCAGGGACACTCTTCAGACCTGCACGCTGGGGACAGCCTGGGGAGCTGGGGACTCTGCAGCAGCGTGATGTCCGAGGGAGGAGTGGCATCCCTGCTGCCTGGCAGGTCTGGACACAGCGGGGCAGGAAAGTTCGGCCAGGTGCCAGGCTCCCTCGTGAGTGGCCAGCACACCAGCCCCGGGGAGGCCCTGCCTGTGGGGGCCGAGGCCCCTCCGCTGGGGGACGACCTGTCTGTCGTGCCGATGCACGGTGCCTGCAGCCCCGAGCCAGAGCTGGGGCCTCCGCTCTCTACACACGGGGGTCTTGGAAGCTGTACGGGGGACTCGGACCAGGTTCCCCACAGGACAGGGACACACGCTGACCCGGGAGGACTGGAGAGCACGTTGGCTGCGGGCGAGGCTGTGGTGTTGGAAGTCGCCGGCGGGTGCAGCCTGCTGCCTCAGGGACAGGAGCAGACGCTACCGCAGACGTCCGGCCGGCTTCTCCTGCCCGACCCGGGCTCCGCAGTGGCCACGCTGACCGAGGCGGAGGGGCCGGCCCCGCACACGTGTCCACCGGAGGGGCTCCTCACGCAGCCATGGAGGCAGTGCCCGCCCAGTGAGACGGGGTCAGAACCGCAGCCCCAGACAGGTGTTTATTTTACCCAAAGAGGGTCTGTTGCGAGCGATGCGTATTTCTCCAACGTGAGCATGGACACAAACGAGCACTTATAAAGAGTGGCGCCTTTCCACCCCACAGGCGCCTTTCCCCCATCGTGGCTGTGGCTGTGGCCACGGGTCAGTGAGTGAGGAACTTCTCCTGTACGTCTGGCTCTCAGGAGCTGCAGGTGCGGCTGCTGTCCCTGCCACCCACGGTGACGCGACTGTCCCCTTGCTTCTTGGTGTATGCTGCTTTTTCACCACACTTGGTCCATACCAGAAGCTCCTTCTGGGTTCAGTATAAAAGAAAATCAACAAATAAGCTAGCCGTTCTCGGCAGCATTTCACTGAGAAGTGGGGAGGAAAGTTGTCTCTCCTTGCATTTTACAAACGAGGAAAGTGGGGCGTGAAAGGTAGAGCTCCAGCTCTCTGGCGACCCGTCAGCCAACACGAGAAGCAGGTCAAATCTGCCCGAGGCCGGGGCCCCGGCCTGTTGAATGTGCGTTTACTCTCTACTTACAGGATGTTCCTCAGCGGAATATCCCAGCAGGCCTTCGCTTCACCATGGTGTATGCGCCGCTGCGAGCGGCAGCGACTTTGCCAACGGAGGAAGAAGTACCCCGCCGCGCTGTGCGTGATCGGCAGCTGCAGATTTCCTGGCCACGTGCTCCCGGGGCACTGGTGGGACTGCCCGCAGCCACCAGGGCCTGTGCCCTCTGCCAGGGCAGTGTCCGCAGGGCCCCAAATACCGAGATGGATGGTAGCCAGCCTCACTGTCACAGCGCCGCACCGACAGACGTGACCTCATCACAGAAACCACGTGGAACCGCCCCATTCTCATCACCTCTCTGGAGTACAGAGCATGCGCGGTACTGAGGGAGGCGCGGCAGCAGAGAGGCCTTGGACAGACACCGGACGCCCACCGCCCGCCCCAGGGACCGCGCAGGCGGCCGCCGAAGGCCTTCAGGGCGGACCTGTCCCAGCGCAGGTGCCCAGGCTGGGTTCAGCAGCCGCGCCCCGCAGGCTCCTGAGGCAGCAGGCCCACCGCGTTCACCAGGTGATGGGGGTGTGGGCCGGCGAACAGGAGGCAGGGGCCGCGGGAGTCGGTCTGTGATGCCCTCTGAGGGCCATGTTTTTTTAATTTATTGATTCTAGAGAGACAGAAACATCGATTTGTTGTCCCACCTACCTATGATTCATTGATTCTTGTGTGTGCCCTGGCCAGGGATTGAACCCGCAGCCTTGGTGTGGCAGGACAGTGCTCCAACCAACCGAGCTAAGCAGCCAGGGCTAAGGACCAGGTTTTTCAGATACATTTTTATTTTCATCTCGGGAATAACATGCCCACAGTTTAAAACGTCCAGTGCTCCAAAGGGCCTTGATGAGCAGTGCCAGCCCTGACCTCAGCCCTCTGTTGCCCTCTGACTGCGGCTGCCCCACTGCTTTGATTTGTCCATTCACTGTCGTCCGTGGACGAACCACTGACCCTCGGGGACAGCGCACACGCCCCCCTAGTTGTCTGTTGCACACGGTGTTAAGTCAGGACTTGCTTCGTACACTGGAGCGTGAATGTTGTTCACTGCTGAGCCTCTGAGCTGTAAGGACATTTGCTTGTAAGCTTTGCTTTTCCTACAGATAATGGCCTTGGATTTTTTTTTATTTGCTTTTCTTTCTTTTTTGCTGTTTTTTTTCTTTAAATTAATTTTTTAGAGGGGGGAAGGGAGGGAGAGAAACATAGATTGGTTGCCTGTTGCACACCCCCATCTGGGGGTTTGGTCCGCAACCCAGGCGTGTGCCCTGACCAGGAATAGAACCAGCGACCCTTCGGTGTGCAGGCCATGCTCAGTCCACTGGCCGCACCAGCTGAGTCTGCTCTTCGGTTGTTTTTAACAAAATCACACATGCATATGGTTTAAAGTGTCAATTTCCTCAGCTTTTTTTTTTTTTAGATTTTATTGATTTATCTTTACAGGGGTAGGAGAGAGGGAGAGAAACATCAGTGTGTGGTTGCCTTTCATGCGTCCCCTGCTGGGAACGGGCCTGCAGGGAACCAGCATGCAACCCAGGAATGTGCCCTGACTGGGAATTGAACTGCGGTCCTCTGGTTCGCAGGCCTGTGCTCAATCCACTGAGCTACACCAGCCAGGGTCAGTTTTTTTTTTTAAAGAAAGCAGCCCCCCTGTTCATTTCTGACAGGTACATGCTGAGCACAGCTCAGCTCTGTGTGGTACACGGTGATTACTTTCTTGCTTAAAGATTTAATTTATTTTTAGAGGAAGGGGAAGGAGAAAGAGGGAGAGACACATCAGTGTGTGGTTGCCTCTCACCACCCCCCACTGGGGATCTGGCCTGCAACCCAGGCACCTGCACTGACTGGGAATCAAACCGGCGACCCTTTGGTTCACAGGCCAGCGCTCAATCCACTGAGCCACACCAGCCAGGGCCACTGTGATTTTTATGCTTTTGTATTTCCTGGAGTTTGATATATATTTAAACATATATATGTTTACATATGTATGTTTTTAGTTTTAATTAAAGGTACTTTTCATTAATTCATGCCCAAACCTTTCCCCAGCCCTGTTCTGTTTGGTTGATACTTTCGTATTCCTTCACTGACCACTGGGCAAGATCTCCGGGGGCAGAGGAGAGAACCACAATTCGCCTCCGTGGCCAGAAGTCTGCTGGTGGCTCTCTCAGGACTTCATGGTTTCTTTCAGAGAGAGGCTGTTTTGTAGTTTATTCCTAAAGTTGTGCAGACTTTGGAATGCAGCAGAGTCAACCACTGGAGCTCCCCTCGTCAGTCCGGCACCTCTGTGCGGGATCTCTGGGTGAGTGCCCCTCGGTGACGTGCGCCTCACTCAGCTTTTAGTTCTGTTTGTGCTTTGCAGTATCAGTCCTTTCCAGTAACTTTCCCGGGCAACTTGGTGTCTGGGGGACGAGGCATCAAGAAACAGGAAATGGCCTAGAAAGGCCTAGAAACTGTAGAAATCGTTCCATGTCTCCTCCGAAGAACATTTGTCTCGGAGTGTCCCCCAAACGTAAAACTGCTGACAGACCTGGGCCTCGGGGCCCCTGCCCAACTGCCCCGCTCAGACGCCAACCTTGCGGTTTTTTAGCCTGCGAGACACACGATGGGGGACTTTTATATGGTTGGATTTTAGCAAATACTGCAAAGGCAGAGGCAAGAGAAAGTCTAAGAATTGTTGCCTTTAAATGCTTTTGATGGGTCAACCTGCACATTGAGAACGCTCGACTCCTTCTCAGAATAACCTGCCAGGAACCCAGCCTTTTATTTGTGGCACATGTTCCTTCCTTCCCGGGAAGCCCTTGTTTCTGGGGCGCTAGAACCTCAGCCTCATGAGGCTCCACCCCATATCCCACAGCGTGAACTTTCTTAGGCCTGGTTCTGGGGAGAAAGGCAGAATGGACCCTCCCAATGTTTGCTGCAAATATTGCCAAACTATAGGGTTTATGATAGAGAGCCACGCGGAAGAAACATCACTCGGCTGGTGGCAGACATGCACTTTTTTATAGAGGATGTTCTTTTCCATGATGCCATCGATGCCCAGGTCACCCTGTGGTATTTTAAACATCAGCTGTAATTACAAAACTAATATAGCCCCTAAATTCAAACAGTACAGACAAGTATAAAGTATAAATACTAGACCAGGGACTCGCTGTACAAATGTGATCCACATAAAATACACCTGATTTACAAAACCGGGTGACAGGTTCACAACAGGGACAGATGACACTGAGTGACCAGTTAACGAGTGTGTCTGGAGAGGCCGTGGGGAGCTGGTGAAACGGTCCCGTCTGGAAGACCCTAGAAGGTGGGCGGGTGGCCGTTCCGAAGCCTGGGCGTGGCGCTGGGATACGGGCGTGGGTCGCACCTGCAGGATGGTCCGAGCAGGGGCTGCAGAAGCCTGCCGTGCGGGGGGGGGGGGGGGCGCTTGGAAATCCCACGTGCAGCCGTGGTGGGAGGTCACAGAGCTCGGTGCCCGGTTTCCAGCAGCATGCTTTCCAGAAGCAGCTTGCTGTCACTCCGCACGCAGGGCTGGTGCAGCCACAGGGACAGGTAGGTCAGGGCGAGGCCGCGGTCGGCGGTGTGCGCCAGCTCCCCGACGATGGTGCGCTTCAGGAGGAGCTCCTCCTGGTACATGGCCGAGAGCTGCTGGGCAACCTCGTCTGCAACATGCCAGTCCCCCTTTAATGGCAGGGAGTGAGCAGGCGCCCTGGCCTGGGAAGGGCCACCACGTGGACGCGCTCCTTGCTGCCCAGCAGAACCAGCAGCGGCACCGAGACTAAGCACCGACAACTGGCACCATCAGCCTGCGGTGCCGTGGCAAGTGGCCGCGAATGAAAAGTGACCCTAACCTTCCTCCTCACCACTGAGAACCTGCAGTGGTTCTAATAGTCGTTAACCTCACACCGACAGTGTTCCAGCACAGGCCAGGCCGGCTGACTCTACCTTTCCTCCCTCATTTAAAAGTGAGATCTCACATCGATATCAAAAAGCTTAGCCCTTCTTTTGAACTAATAAAGCTAAAAATAACAATGTCTCATAGAGGTTATTAAAGTAATGAATTCCATTTTCCAAGCAGTCTTTTCCCTGCTTGAATGAATTTTATGAGATTCACTGAAGTTTTATTTTTTTTCATTAAAACAAAGTGAGAAAAAAAACCCTTCAAAAAAGTCAAGATTTCTGCCTTTGCAGAAGCGGCAGACTTTATTCTATTCATTGGTTTTAAAGGGCCAATCATGGCAGCTTGCTTCATGGGTTTCTAATTACGCTTTCAACATTCTTTGCTGATTCAAGCCGAGAATAAATGCTCTATTTAAGACGCCCCATCTCCACCCCTCCGAACGGATCCTCCTGATTTGGGGTTGGGTTCCCTGACCCGCCCTGCAACCCCCACAGGAAGCACTCACAGAAGCGGGCCGTGGGCCACGTGTGGAACAGGGGGGCCCCTCTGCCGTCCTCCCCGTAGTGGTACTTCTCCAGTTCGCAGATCCCCTTGGTAGTTGAAGACAGCTTTTCCATTTTCACCTGTATTTTTGTCTGAAAAGATAGCAACTTGGGATGTAATAACAAGACTCGAAATGTCCTCCAGTCTCAGACTCAGTCACCCTGAGATTCCAAAGCTGGGAACCTAAGTCTGCTGAGACCAGAAGCCCAGCAATTCAACTGCATCAACTCTGTGCACAGCGAACTCCCGGGCAGGCAGCACTGTGATTTCATCAGCCCGGGTTGCTCAGTGCTCAACCCGACCCCCCAGTCCCGGAGCAGACGGAGCTCCCCGAGAGGTGGACTTCTGCCGGTGTGGAGGGCAAGACGGCGGTCAGCAAGTGAGCTCACTTCCCACTCTGACTGAGCGCCTCTGACCTGCCTCTCTGAGGCCAGTCTCCTTGTTTATCACATGGCAATGATGAAAGGCAGCCCCACACCTTCCAGGAAGGAGCTCCGGGAGGAGGCGACGAGACACCGGCAGTGCTCGGTGAGGACGCCATCCCCGCGGCCCCTTGGCGGCTCCGACAGACTGCCTGCTGGTGCTGGCAAGGGTTTGTTAAATAAAACAGATGGGTGCTCGGCCGTAAGAAGGAGGAGCTCTTACCCTTTGCGGCAGCGTGGATGGACCTGGAGAGCATTACGCTGACTGAAATAAGCCAGTCAGAGAAAGACAAATGCCACGTGATCTCACTTACATGTGGGATCTAATGAACAAAATGAGCGAACACACAGAACAGAACCAGACTCAGATACAGAGAACAAGACTGACAGCTGTTGGAGGAGGGGCGGTTGTGGGGCTGGGTGAAAAGGCGAAGAAAGCAGCCAAAAAAACCCCTTTATGACACAGACGACAGTGTAGAGATCATGGGGGGGACACGCAAAGGTGGATAAATGTGGTGGAAGGAGCCTTGACTTGGGGTGGTGAGCAGGCAACACAATATACAGATGACGCATTACAGAACGGTACACCTGACACCTACACAATTCTACCGACCAGTGTCATCCCAATACATTCAATACGCACACACATAAAGCAGATGGGCAAAGCCACTAGGAGCTCAGGTGTGAGTGGCCCAGGGCTCAAGGACCACACTGCCAACTCCTAAGCACAGTTAACCCGATGCGTACGGGGAAGTAAAAGGATCTGTAAGTCGTCCGAGTCTTCGTTCCCTGCACTCGGGCCTCCCACCACCCTCCGGGGACATCCGAATCGGCTGGCACTGACTTCAGCCAACGTTAATTTTTAAAGAATGGCACTCCTTTCCCAGATCCTTCCGGGCTCAATAATTCCCTTGGCTCCACCCCAAGAGGCAGACTCTGTGCCTGCAGCTGGGCAAGCACCCAAGGTCGCTCACTGAGCTTGGGAGGGACGCGGCTGGGACCGAGACCCCAAGCCTGGAGCCCAGTGCTCGCTCTCTCCCCCACACTTGGCAGCAGCTCCCTGGCACGCCCTCTTCTAAGAAAAGCTTCTGCAGGTCGGGACTGCAGGGTTCCTGCAGGCCCGACGCCATCCTGTTCGTATGGACTTGCCACAGTCAAGCAGGTTCTGGGGAAAAACACTGTAAAAGTGTCCAGTCTTCAACAGCTGATTAACTGGGATCTTCAGTGGGTCACTCTGCCTCTGTCATCCCCACCGGCCCAGAGCTCACCCACCAGAGATGCAGTGTGGATCGAGAGCCAAAGCCGAGAAAGCCGGAATCCCAGAGCCCCCCCACGGTGTCCCCACCTTTCTGGGAGTGGGGCTGACAGATGACACTGCTCGCCTAGGGCAAGACAGCAGGCAGCGTCCCCAAACAGCAGGACAATCACAAAACCCTGATTGTTTACAGGGGACAAACAGCCCCCCCCCCACCAAACGGCTGACGCTGGTGTTGGTTTTCGATCTAAAACAAAAGGGGACATCACCGAGATGTCCTCAACGCACCGTTTATTTTCCCATTTCGGCGTTTCTAAAACCAGCCCGCATCTCACAAGAGACGTGGTATTTGGAGCACAGTGTCGTCTGTGTCAGAGAGGTTTTCGTTTTTTGACTGCTTGCTTCTCCTTTTCACCCAGCCCCACAACCCCCCCCCCCACAGCTGCCGGTCTTGTTCTCTGTATCTGAGTCTGCTTCTGTTGTGTTGTTTCCTGAAAAACTCCTCTGAATCCTAAATCTGAGTAAGCGGTTTCCTGACGAAATGTAATTATATTCAACATACTCTGTTAGAAAAGACAAGCATGTGAAGTCTAGGAAACATCTCCACCAGCAAAGGTTGAAGTGTAAGGGTCTATGTCCACAGGTGAGCTGTGGTTACTCACCACAAGTCAAACGTGCGCAAACCCTCATTCCTAAGCCCAGCAAAGAGGTGCCCTGTGGTGTCTGTGTTTGGTGGCCAGTGTGGCAGGCACTGAACTTCAGTCACCAGTTCATTGAGCAACCACTTACCAGCCCGGGGCCCACAGGCCGGCCAGCCTACAGCCTGTTTTTGTATGACCACGAGCTAAGAATGGGTTCTGCATTTTTAAGTGGGTGAAAAAAAATCCAAATAATATCTGGTGATGCATGAAAAGTATGCAGTTCAAGCTTTGGGGTCCGTAAGGAAAGTTCTGCTGGAACGCAGCCCACCATTCGCCTCTGCCCGACCTTCGGCCATGCTGGTGACACTGAGCAGAAGCCAGTGGTGACAAGAGAGGCTGGGGGCCCACAGAGCCTCAAAACAGTTACTGTGGAGCCCTGTGAGGGGGCAAGATTGCCCCGGACAACACATGGGACCAAAAGAACAAAGGTCTAAGACAGCATCTTGGAGACATCAAGACTTGCGGACCAGGCAGAGGAGGTTGAGGGAGAAGCCAACGATGGAGCAGGAACGACCGCCTGGCGTCGAGCACGGCTGAGTGCCAGGCGAGCCCCTGGGCCTTACCAAACCGGCCACGGTGGCCTGCAGCTCCTCGCACAGCGCCTCGAGCTCCGCGCTGTACCCTGGCGGCCTCCGCTCTGCATTTCCGTCGCAGGCCGGGCTGCCGCTCTCCAGCTCGGCCTCGTCTTTACTCCTGGACAAAGTGGAAGAAGGGGAACAAGTCACATTCTGTGAGCTCCCCTCGGCCGGTTAGGGTAAACCCGAGACATTGCAATATCCAGGGAACGATGTCAGAGGTTTCCCAAACATGCTGTTTCACGTCATTGAACGCTGATCAGTAATGTAGACAATGAACACATTTGTCGATTACTCAACTCCGCACTAGAGGAAGTCAGTGATATTCAGCCCTGGGGCCTCCTCGGCGTAGGGTGCAGTGCTGGGCACGAAGATGACAGGTGGGGAACAAATTTTGTGAGCTGGAGGCCGTGACCCACGGGGCAAGAGAATAATCAAGTGGAGTCACAATCAACGCTGAAGGAGAAAAGTTCCATATTAAAACGGGAGAAAGATCAGAGCCTCTCGTGGGACTGGCTGAGCAGGATCCCACAGGGAAACTTGGCAGGGCCCGAAATGACCGATGTGCCTGAGGACAATGGTGGCCTAGAGGCGCATGCGCTGGAGGATATCTGTATGGAATCATAACTATAGAAATGTGATCTAACCGGGAGACAGCACTGGCTCCCACGAGTGAAGGGCTCAGTACCCATGAGTGAGCCTCTCGGGCTCAGTTGTCCCCTGTGATCTGACCAACTGCTGTGCGTCAGAGGGTCCTGCAACCCCTGCTTGAGTGATTCACAGCTCTGGAGAACAGTCCTCTTACCGCATTACCAGTTATTGCAAAAGGCACTAAAGAATATGAAAGAACAGCCCGATGAATAGGTACATGGGGCAAGGTCCTGGAGGGGCTTCTGTCCCTGTGGACTTTGGGGACACCCTTCCAGCACATCAAGTGTTCTCACTGACCAACCTGGAAGCTCTCCAAACCCCACAGGCACGGCGGATTGAGGCACTGGCTGCTGCTGCTGGTGATTAACTCAACCCAGCCCCTCTCGCCTCCCACAGGGGCGGCGCTGAAAAGTTCCAGCCCCCTGTTGCTTGGTTGGTTCCCCCGGCAACCAACCCGCATCCTCCAGGGCTTCCCACAGGTCACCTTATTAATATAAATTCAGGCCTGGTCAAAAGGGGCTTGTTATGAATAGAAGATACTTATTTCACTTTTACCACTCCCAAGCTATTTCAGGAACCGGGACTACTGGAGGACAAAAGACCAAACATTATAACTAAAGATTCTCCCATTGCTCTTGTTAATTAGGAAATTATAAGGGGTTTGGGAGTTGTGTGTCAGGAACAGGGAGGAAGACCAAAGAGATATTTCGTGCTATAAATCACAATGTTGCAAAATAAAATGCAACGTTATGAAGAAAAGGTCCCACTTACCAACCACCCCAACACTATTCTTCCTAGAGGAGACCAAGGTCATGAACTGAGCCTGCATCCCTCCAATCCATTTTTATAATTTTATGTATTTTGTATGTTTAGATGTAATCAGGAACAGTGTACAGGGTCCAGCAGGAGTAAGGCCTGTTTAGGTGGTTGGTAGGGTAATAATATGGGCATAATAATTCATAGTTTTAATTTGAACATGTCACTTAAAATGCCGCATCATGTGCTTGAGTGTGATATTGTTATGTTACAGAATTACATGCTTATGATTTTGTAATAAAAGAGTCTGTAATTAAAAAAGGGGCGTTATTTGTGCCAGACCCTGCATAGTGTAATTTTGTATTTAAATGTACATTTACACTTCATACTTACATGTATCATTTTACCACTTGCTTTTTTGCTTAATATAATTTAATTTGTCCATGTTGATGGAGACCACTCCTCCCCCATAGGAGACCCCCACAACACTTGTGCCCAATTATTAAGGATGAAGAGCTGGGAGGGGCTGTAGCTGTACTTACAATAAACTGATTTTCGTGTTGGCGATATTATTTGCAATAGCAAAGCCTGCATCATTGAGGGTTTCCCATTTCAGGATTAAATTATGCCAATCAGCTGCATTGTCCTTAATTTTTCTCGCGCTGACAGATAAGACAGGCTTTCTGGGCGTTGCACTTCCCAGGGTCTTTGCTGGTGGGTAGTAAAAGAAACACAGTTGTTATGGAATTCATGGCCACGGCTGGAGGGCAAAGGCTGTTAGAACTCTCCACAGTAAAACCGAACGCCGCATCAACTGGACAAGTAAGTCACGTGGACACTAGGAAGTCTGGATGACCAGGAGAGTTCCCGGAACGAGAACGAACAGAATGGTTTTTACACTTGAAGACTCGCCAGAGACGGCTGGGTCCTTTCCCAGCCTAACGGGTCCACATAGTTCTACCTTAAGCACTTTGATTGCTTTCAAAGGCTGGAAATCAGGCGAAGTTGTGACTTTCGTCACCTAGTCTCAGGCACTCTGGTGCCTCACGTTTGCTCAGAGCTTTGTGGTCCCCAAGTACTCCGTGGTGCCCAAGGCACTGACAAGGCTGGCCCGAGAAGCAGGGCACCTCCGAAGTCCTTCAGGACCTGACCCCTCTCCACCCCAACACTCGTCCCAACCTCTGCCCGGAACCCCCTTAAGCTACAGCAAAAATGAACTACTGGCAGCACCCAAAGTGGAGTCAGCTGCAGACCTTCCCACACGCAGTTCTGCTAGAAAGTGCTTTCCTTTCTCAGGCTAGTGCTGCCCATCCCCCAAGATGCACCCAGATCCCAGCCCCTGTGGGAAGCCACCCCGAGACCACCCAAAGCCCACTCAGGCTGTTTGGGCTCTTCCAGCCCTCCTGTGCCCTCTCCTTCCCCACTCAGAACCCGTCAGAGGCTGCTCGTGGCCCACAGGAGGACGTCCGAACCCTGTGAGAGGCCCTGAAGGGGTGCAGTGCACTCACAGTGGCACCGTTCGGAGTCCGGCCCCAAAGACCAGCATGGCTGGACCGGAATCCCAGCGCTGCCCTCGCCAGAGGTGAGACCTTGGGCATGTTAAGTAACCTCTCAGAGCCCAATGCCCCGTCTGTAAAATGGGGATAAGACCTGTCTACTTCAAAGAGTTGACGTAAAGGTTGGATAATATAGGAAAAGCTGTGAGGGCCTGGCAGGCAGGAAGGGTCTGCAGTATCTGCAGTCAGGAGGACCTCTCCACCGCGTGGCTTTCCATCACCGCCAAGCAACAAACTCAGTTCTGACCACGACAGCTGGAGACAGCATCAGATCCCGAGAGTTAAGGGCTCATGTTCCGTGTTCCCTCTCATAGCCTCAGCACACAGTAGGTGTTGAATAAAATGTGTTGACTACAGAAACAGCTTGTACCACCCGTGCTATATCATCATCCAAGGGGTTCTCTCCCCCAGTAGGAGCTCCTTAGAGGCCAGGATCACATCTGATTCATCACCTGTACGTGCTTAGGAACCAAAATCAGTTCTGACTCCAATAATGTCACAGGCTAGTAGGAAAGACAGACCGGTGACAGAGGACCGAGCAGAGTGGGGCAGAGGACGGTGGGTGGCTCCGTCATCTAGCCCTCCAGCCTCGCTGCCCATCTGTTGACATCACCTCATGGGATCGCTGTGAGGCTCGAAAGAGTTGATTCCCGTCAAGCCCTCCGAACACTTCAAGGCACACCGGGGTCACTCGGCGAGTGACAGATTTCAGTACAAGCGGAAAAGACTGTGCCTGGTAATTCCACCCGAGGGCCGCTCAGGGAAAGTGCTCCGCTAATGCTAATCTATAATGTCAAATACGATTTGAGCGTCAGGATCCGCTGACACATTTTTGCGTTCAACTCTTTCTACACATGGGAAAACTGATGCTCTGCCTAACCGACCCGCTCCCGGGTCGACAGCAGGGCCCGCGCGGAGCCAGGGGGCTAGGCTGGAGCGACGCCGGAACCCCGTTCAACCCGGAGGCCCCAGGCCTCCCGCTCAGTCCCCACAATTCCACCTTCCCGGCCCCGGGGAACTGGCCACTCTCACGCACCTTCCATGCGAGCGGCTGATCTCCCCGGAAAAAGACCCGAAGCCCCGCCCACGTCGCGCGGAATACGTCACTTCCGGCTCGCCCCACCCGCCGCCACTTGTGGCTCTGCCGCTCTAGCCTTTGGAGGAACCGGCTGTCGCTCGGCGGGGCGGGCCCGGTGGCCTTCGGGACGAGCTTCCAGCAGCCCCCGCGGCCCGGAGTCCGTCCCTTCTCCTTCGGCTCGGCGGGCCCGACGAGTCCCGAGGGGCTGTCGCGGGAGGTGAGTCCGGCGACGCGGCTGGCGTCCGCTTCCCCGCTGCCGCCGCCCCTCGTCTCAGCGACTCGGGGTCGCCCTGCCCGGCTCGCCCCCTTTCACGCTCTCGTCTTGCCCGTGCGGGTGGCCTAAGCTGAATGTCCGACCACGAAGCGCCCGCCTGGCAGACGCCGGCGGCCCGCGGAGCGCAGCAGCTGTCGCCCTCCCTCCTCGGCCCCCGCCCGGCGCGTCCCCGCTCGCCGGCTCCCCGGCTCCTCCCACGCCGCGCCCCCCATCCCAGCCTCCGAGCGCCCGGTCTCCGGACTGAGCCTGTGTGCGGTCCCCGGCTCTTCCAGCCCCCCGGGCTTCGCGCGCCCCCGGGCCTTGGCATGGACCCAGGGTGCTGAGGAAGTGCTCGTTCTCTAGGTCCTGCTTCAAGAACCCGGAGGCAGAATAGGTCGTACAGGCCAAAGAACGGGGCTCAGGTCTGTGCTCCGGGAAAGCGCTGCCACGGCTTTGAGAGTCCGTCCCACAGTCAGCGAACTGGAGGTGATGCTGATTTCTGCCTCTGTGTCCCGGGAAGGGTTAAGGGGGTCGTGTGGAGGGCCAAGTCCGTGCCGGCAAGCGCTGCCTTCCCACGAAGGACGGCTCTCCTGCTGTGGCTCTTCCCGGCTCTGCGCCTCCTCACTTTCCTCGCGGAGCTGCCGCCGTTTATTCTGTTCCACTTGTGGGCGTCGTGTGGGCGCACACCTGCCTGTGTGCTGGAGTGACCCGCTTCCCCGGGGTGGACTTCTTGGCCAAGGCCCTGGAAACTTTTAAGGGAAGGAGTCCTGGGAAATTCCCAGACCCAGACCCCACCACGGGCCCTGGTCTCCAGGGGCACCTGGTTCCCTGAGCTGCAAAGCTTCTCTGCTTGCACCCACCCAGTGAGCACGCACCTTGTTAAAACTCTGACCTTGCTGGGTTTTGCAACCGGACTTGCATCCCGTGTTTGTTTCTTCAGCAGGTAGTTATTTGGGGTCCACTGAATGCCAGCCACCGACCCAGGCTCTGGGGTGCTGGGTGGACCGGACAGACCCAGTCCTTTCTGCAGGCAGGAGAACTTGGAGGGGGGCGGGTGGACCGGTTAAGGATGTCCTCCACTGGAGGAGCCACCAGGAGGTAGACTGTTAGGTTTCAGTTGTTGTGCAACCACGTTGTCTCCTGGTAGAAAGTTGGCCTGGCCGGGTTTGCCATCTTCTCTTAGAGAAGCCGCGTTTGGAGATGGAGGCAGGTGCCACTTCTTCACAGAAGCCTCTGTGTAGCTGGACAGAACAGTGGCTGGGGCTCCGGTGGGGGTGGGGGAGAAGGAGGCGATGCCTCAGGTGGCAGCAGGTTGACCTGGGAGAGAGAGGAGCAGATCAGGTGTCCAGGGGTTTGTGGGCGGTGTCGGGGCCTGGCTGGGGACTGGCCGCCAGGGGGTCGTGAGCTGCTGTTCAGAGTGCGGTCCCCCGTGAGTGGCTGCCGAATTGGGCCTGGACAGGAGACTAGTGAATGTTTGCACACGGGTGGCAGTGGCTGTGGCAGGGCAGTCTCCTCTCTTGGGCTGTTGCACTGGGGGAATCCTGGCAGTGTTTTGAGAGAGAAGATAATTAAACAAAACGCACGGAGCATCGGTTGCACCGCAATGTCTGTTGGTCTTTGGAGCCCGTGGAGTGTACAGACTAGGAGGACGTGAGTAAAGGCACGAGGGCGCCCAGGAGCAGCACCGTGCAGAACAAAGGCCAGCACGTGTCCGTGTTCAAGGGCATCTGTGCAGGCTTCCTGTGGAGAGCTTGTCCTCACGGGCGTGCAGGGTGGGGAGGCCTGGTGGGCCCAAGGCTGGGCCCAGAGGCTGGCGGGCCCCCACAGTGCTGAGTGGGGCGTGCGGAGGAAGGAAGTGGCCTGGAAGGAAGCGTGATGTGGAGCATCAGCTGGCACCGACCCGGAGGTGACCCAGTCCCACCTGGAAGAGACATGACTGCTTCAGTCTCATTAGGTTCAGCCATACGGTTTTCACACTTAAATATACCGTAGGTGTTGTGGCCAGACTTCAAAAATAGACAGCACCACCGAGTGCTAAACATTGCTTCCTGGAGGTTTTGGAGGGAGTCCTCGAACCACTTCAGCCAAGGGAACAATTTAGACTGGAGGTTAGGAGTCTTAGCTCCGCCTCCGAAACAGCGCCTACCTTGGTGGCTCAGGGCCCTATGTGTCTGCGTGGCGGGTGTCCCCACCTCTGCGTGTGGGAGTGATGGCACAGGGAGGCTGGGGCTCCTGACCGGAGGAGGAGGGGTGTGTGTGGGGCTCCGTTGGTGAGGAAGGAGGCGCCGTGCACCGCAGCGATTGGGGCAAGGAGTTCCCATGTCCGGGGGAGGGAGGCGAGGCCACCTACGTCGGGGTGTTTTGTGAGGGTTTCGTGGCAGTACGCCAAGGACAGCTGCTGTTGAGGAAGGGTGGGAGCTGTCACCACTGTCCCTGTCATTGCTGTCCCCTCTGGCCTAGTGCCCTGTGCCTTTAAGTGATCTGCATGCTTTCCCCAGGTGTCTGCCAGGGCCCTTCCCACCAGAGTCGGCCTCTTTTGACTTCTGGGTCCTGTGGGTCTCACCCACCCCTTGGAGTAGGTGCCCAGCCAAGGCTTGGTCTCGTTTTTAAAAGTTTTTATTTCTTTATTTTTATAGGAAGGGGAAAAAAGGGAGAAAGAGACCCAAAGAAACATCCATATGTGGCTGCCTCTTGTGCAACTCCCACTGGGGACCTGGCCCCCAACCCAGACATGTGCTGTGACTGGGAATCAAACTGGTGACCCTTTGGTTCTTGGGCCGGCACTCAGCCCGCTGAGCCACACCAGCCACAGTGGCTTGGTTTTGCTTTAAAAAAGTTACAAACTAACACTGTGCTGCTGTGTGGACAGGGCCAGCATTCACCATCCTGATTTCTGTCACACTGGGTACCTGAAACTGTGTGACCTTGGGCACATTTCGGAAAAACTCCCGGAGTCTCAGCATTTGCTAAGAGGGTGGTCAGTGCTCTAACAGCCACGGGGGCGGGGCTTGTCAGGAGTACCCGGGGCAGTCCTGCCCGCCGTCCCCTCACCCGCCTGGGCTGGGTGCTGTGACTCTCAGGCCACAGAGGAATCAGAAAACACTCGAGAACCTGGATGGGCCCACAGGTCCAGGGCTTCTGTCCCAGCATCGAACTGGGGCCAAACCAGAGAGAAGACGCTGCTTTGCTGGCTTCCCTTCTTGCCGCGAATTCCTTCCTCAGAGTCTTCCTTTTCCGTAGCGTGTTCGTTTGGTCAGTACACGCTTCCTGAGCGCCTCCCGTGCACCCGGCCCTCTGGCAGGTGCTCCCGGGGGCACCGCAGGCCGGGGTGAGGCGGGGTCAGGCAGAATGACAGAGAGGGGGGGTGTGGGGAGAGCGGGTGAGGGGGTGTGGCGGGGTGCCCAGCGGGGGAGGGAGGCACTTTGGGGTGGTGATGTGTGGCCTTGTGGAGGAGGGGACGGTCCGGCAGGACCTCGTGCTGAGAAGAAGCAACAGCGGAGTGAGAAGGAACCTTCCAGGTGGGGGCGTGGCCGACGCAAGGGTCTCTGGGTGAGTTTCCAAAGAAGGGGGCTTGGAAGTCAGTCAGTCAGTCCGTAGAAACAGACCACCCACAAACAGACTGTAAACCCAGCATCCCAGGAAGGCTGTACTAGAGGGGGTTCAAAAACCTCTGTGGACCTAAAGGGCTGAAGTGCCCCCAGGTCTAAGCAGGTACAGCGCGCCCACCTGCAGCTGTTGTCTGTGTGTCAGAGCCGAGACCGTGACCATGGAAAGGGCCCAGGACTTGGAGGGGCAGACCTAAGCTCACATGTCAGCCTCATGGTCTTCGGTACCTTCATCTAACAGTGGGGGACGATGCCCCCCACCCTGTACGGGAGGGTAAGGGTTAAATGAGGGACCGAGCACCTGTAAGTTATGACTTCCTGTGGGAGGATCCAGTGTCTACTGAGCAAAGCCTTGAACCCAAGGAGCTGAGAGGTGCGGGTCTCAGGAGCCGAGCAGAGGTGTGTGCACCTGAGGCCCTGAGTGCTGAGGGGGCTGCGGGGCGCAGCTGGGAACCCTCGCAGCCTAGCGCCCTTGTGCCCCTGGGGCCGGTTTGCTGCTCTCCTAGGACCAAGTGTCCTCCCTGGCCGCGTCACAGTCGGGGCTGTTCCAGCGAAGCCTTCCCTACCCTCGGATCCACACTGCTGTCCCTCCTCATCGAGACCCACAGAGTCACACCTCGTCCCATGCGAGTTGAAGATGTTCAGTGTCTTTGCCTCCCTGGCTAGCTGACGAGATACTTGAGGATGAGAACTATCTCTTACTGTTCCTTCCACCCCTCTGTAGTATTTATCACAATATAAATTACAGGGACCGGTACTTAGGCAAGCGCATTTTGAATTAAAATGCTCAAAAAGAAGGTGACCCCAAGGACAGCTGGTTTTTGCCTCTGTTTAATTAAGGTCCAGCTGTAGTTGTTACCCACCCGAAAGTTCCCCGTCCCCTGTTGGAGACGACTTCTCTTTGGCACGACTGGACGTGAAAGCATGACCGTGCCTTGTTCTCTGGCCCCCAGGTCTCCCCAGATGCTGAGTCAGCGCTCCGCGCCCTCCCAGAAGACCGTCGCTGGGCGCCCTGGCCATGGCGTCCGCAGCAGCGCCGGTCACGTTCAGGGAGTTCTGCCCCCTGTACTACCTCCTCAGCGCCATCCCCTCGAAGGTCCAGAAGGGCTTCCGCTCGGTGGCGGTCTACCTGACGGCCCTGGACGCCAGCGGGGACTACATCGCCGTGGGCAGCAGCACCGGCATGCTCTACCTGTACTGCCGGCGCCTCGGCCGGATGAGGAGGTACAGCTTCGAGGTGAGCCCGCTGCCCTCGGAGCCCGGCTGCTGTTTGCCGTGCTCGTGGGTTCCAGCGTGGGACCATTTACTGCCGCTTTGCTAGAGTGTGGCCTTAGAGTCTCACCCAAACGGTACTTTAAAGCCGTCTCTAACCGGGGTGGAATATAGATAAAAACACTGGCGTTTCTAACTTTCTTTTCCTGCCTTCAGAAATCCAGCATCACTGAGTGTGGTGCGAGAGCATTTCCTTGTTGCACACTCAGCCGGGGAGTCTGGGAGAGGGTGTTCTTTTTGAGTGTGTTTCTCACATCGCCTTGACAGGTGGCCTTGAACACCTGTAGTTGCTCTGGTGAGCTTGTCACGAATCAAGGACCCATGTCGGTGTCTCAGAGTCGCCTGGCCGCCAGGGCCGGTGCACCGTGCACAAGGTCGCTTCCGAGAGCACTGGCTGTCGCAGGTCGGCCGGCCTGCGGTGTGTTGCTGCCCTTGCGGTCTCCGTGTTGTGTCGGTTGGGTGCACAAGTGTCACGGACGCCCCTGAATACACCCATTGCGTTGGTGTCCCCGGCTGTTTCGTGACAGAGACTCAAAGGCGACCCAGTCTCGGCTCCTACCTCGTGGCCTCATGAGGCTCCACTCTGTGCTCAGTGGGCTTTCACAGACCGAGACGAGGCTGTCGTGTTTAAGAAATGTTTCCAAATACCTGTGTTTTTATCAGTATTCAACTTCTTGAAGTCTTAATTTAAACAGGTAGTTTTTCCCGAGCCTCTGTACTCAGTTTAAAATGACAAAAATGCTCCGCGTGCTGTAGTGCTTTCTGTACGCCAGGCGTCAGGTAGCCTTTGGCGTGGGACCCGTTTCATCGGCACAGCTCTGCGAGGCGCGTGTTTCTGTCCCCACTTTACCAGTGAGACAGTTGAGACACAGGGTGGCTAAGGGACAGCCCAAGGTCAGGAGTTAGTGAACGATGGCACCATTGTCTGAACCTGGGCAGATCAGCTCCAGAGTTTATATTAATATTTTTATATAAAAATTAAAACTACACTGTTTCTTTTCTTTGATTAATGGGCTTATGGATTTGATTGATCAGATTTCCCAAACCTTTAAGACCATTACATAATTCATCTTTACAACCGTAGTTATTTTTTTACTATAATTTTTAAAATATATACTTTATTGATTATGCCCTTACAGTTGTCCTATTCCCCCCTTCATTCCCCTCCCCCTGCACACCCTCTCCCTCACCGTTCCCCCTTTAGTTTATGCCCACGTGTCTCAAGTTCTTTAGACTCTACATTTCCCACACTACTCTTGCCCTCCCCCCTGTCTATTTTCTACCTACCGTCTATGCTACTTATTTTCTGTGCCTTCTCCCCCCTTCTCCTCCCCCCACTCTCCTGTTGCTAACCCTCCATGTGATCTTCATTTCTATGGTTCTGCTCCAGATCTAGCTGTCTTCTTAGTTTGCTTTTGTTTTAGGTGTGGTTAATAACTATGATTTTGCTGTCCTTTCACTGTTCATCTTTTTTATCTTCTTTTTCTTAGACAAGTCCCTTTAACATTTCATATAATAAGGGCTTGGTCATGATGAACTCCTTGAATTTGATCTTATCTGAGAAGCACTTTATCTGCCCTTCCATTCTAAATGGAAGCTTTGCTGGATAGAGCAATCTTGGATGTAGGTCTTTGGATTTCATGACTTGGAATACTTCTTTCCAGCCCCTTCTTGCCTGTAAGGTCTCTTTTGAGAAATCAGCTGACAGTCTGATGGGGACTCCTTTGTAGGTGACTGTCCCCTTAGCTCTTGCTGCTTCTAGGATTCTCTCCTTCATTTGAATCTTGGCTACTGTAATGATGATGTGCCTTGGTGTGTTCCTTCTTGGGTCCAACTTCTTTGGGACTCTCTGAGCTTCCTGGATTTCCTGGAAGTCTATTTCCTTTGCCAGATTGGGGAAGTTCTGCTTTATTATGTGTTCAAATAAGTTTTCCACTTGTGGCTGTTTCTCTTCCCCTTCTGGTACCCCTATAATTCGGATGTTGGAACGTTTAAAGATGTCCTGGAGGTTCCTAAGCCTCTCCTCATTTTTTTGAATTTTTGTTTCTTCATTCTTTTCTGTTTGGTTGTTTTTTTCTTCCTTCTGATCTACTCCGTTGATTTGAGTCCCAGTTTTCTTTCCATCACTGTTGGTTTTCTGTGCATTTCCCTTCATTTTCCTTAGTTTAGCCTTCGTATGTTCATCTAATTAGTGAGTAAAATCAGCCAGTTCTGCGAGCATCCTGATCACCAGGGTTTTGAACTGTGAATCTGAGAGGTTGGCTAACTCTTGGTCGCTTAGAGTTATTGGCTCTGGGGCTTTGAGCTGTTCTTCTGGAGCCATAATGTTCTGGTCTGTTCACGCCTGTTCCGTATGCGCGGCAGAGCCCTAGGTGTTCACCAGGGTTCTCCCTCTCTTTCTGTTTCCCTTCCCCTCTCTTTAAAAATAAGTAAATCAAATCTTTAAAAATATGTATGTGTTTGACAGGCAGCAAAAATTGAAAGACACATGTGCAGTCGAGGTTTTAGTGTGTACAGATGTAGTAATGTATGAGAGAGCTTCAGCAAAGCAGAGGAGAGTGAGGGGCCTACGTGGTGGTAAGGTCTCTACATGCTACTCGGAAAGGTGCTGTTGTCATCCCTAGGGCCGCCACCGAGACACCCTGTGCAATGGGGTGCCGGAAGAATGACTCCGGGTATGTCAAAAAGGAACTTTTACAAGAGTACACACAACTCACAGGAAAGTGAGAACGGGGCAGCAGAAGAAGGAAAAACAGAAGGAACAAGCGGAAAACAAATGCAGTGATCGATTTAAATCAGAACGTACCCAATTATGTTTAATGGAAACTTCCTCACGTGTCCGCTAAAAGACAGAAATTTTGGAAATGAGAAACATCATGAAACAACTGTTTCCCGTAAGAAAATCATTTAAAAATAAATGGTGTAAGAAGGTAAAAAGTCAGAAGACGGTAAAGGACACACCGTGTAAACGCCGATGAAAAGGGGCCTGGGACGGCTGTTAATGTCGGAGCTGCCTCAGCAGGGAGTGACTGGGGAGTCCGACAGGCCTGCGCGGTGGTGAGAGGGGCAGTTGGCCGGGAAGACGCGGCAGTCCCACACATGTCCCGAGTGACACGTGTTCGTGTCCTCGGCACCAGAGCTTCGTGGCACACGGAGCAAAGCTGACAGAACTGAAGGAAGGACGGAGAAGCCCACGGTTGTAGCTGGAGACTTCAGCACCCCTTCCTCGGGAGTGGAAGTGGTGCAGAGAAGACCCACCAGGATGCAGAGCTGAGCAGCGCAGTCAGCCACCACGATCCACTCGCTGTTTTCAACGCTGCACCGGACGACGGCTGAGTACCCACTCCTTACAGGTGGACATGGGGCATCCACCAAGACAGACCAGATTCTGGGGCGCAAAGCACACCTCAGTGAATTTAAGTTACAGCAGGCTTTCCAGGGGCCTGCGTGTCACCTCATCTGTTTTCTCACTTTTTAATTGAAGTATGGTTTACATTTAGTGTACTGATGTCACGTGCACAGCTCGATGGAGTTAATGTGTGTGCACCTGTGACATCATCCGATGAAGATACAGACGTTCCAGCAGCTCACAGACTCCCTGTGCCGCCTCCCAGTCCGCGCTCCTCCCCAGGGGGCCTGCTCTTCTGACTTGTGACTCTGTAGGGCGGTCGTCCGAGCCCCTCGGGGCTCAAGCCGCTACTGACTCGCGTTGGCGTCAGGCTTAGTCTCTTAGGGGTTTTAGGTGGTGGTTGTTCCAGAAAGTGTATCTGGGTAGAAAGCGGGCCTTACATGTGATCGATAGAGCCTAGCACATATTTATTTTTTTCCCAAGATTTTATTTATTTCGGAGAGGGGAGGGAGGGAGGGAGGGAGAGAAACATCAAGGTGTGGTTGCTTCTCATGCACCCCCTGCTGGGGACCTGGCCCACGACCCAGGCATGTGCCCTGACTGGGAATCGAACTAGCAACCCTTTGGTTTGCAGCCCACACTCAATCCACTGAGCCACACCAGCCAGGGCATGTGTTTTCAAAAATAATGCTTTTGGAAACTGTTTCTTTTCCTGTACAGATTAGTAGGAGAGGGCAGATGGAGACACAAGAAGCTCTTCCTAGTGGGTGCCAAAAGCACGGAGGAACGTTGTGAGAAGCTAATAATAAGCACAAAAATGTTACAAGCTTGTTAAACAGATGGCTGCGACATATGAATTCTGTCCAGAAGGTATCCAGCCATGTAATGTGAGAAATGGAGCGATTTATTGAAGAAAATACAAGATACAAGAAGCACTGTACACAGGACATGACACCTCAGTCCCCTCCAAAGGAGGCACCTTGGGACCTCACACAGTTCTCCCAGTCACCATCAGCTGCCTGCTTGTATTTTCCTGAATGTCATCAGTGGTCTGCAACCTCTTCCCTGTCAAAGGTGATTTTAGTTTTGGGAAAAGCCAGAAGTCGCAGGGGGCCAAGCTGAGCTGTAAGGGGGCTGAGTCGTCTGGGTGATTTGATGCTTCATCAGAAAACTACATGAGACCCGGTGCATGAGCGGGCGTATTGTCTGATGAGGCTGCCAGTCACCAGTTGCCCACAGCTGTGGCCTTTTGAATCATTGGGATGGTTTCCACGGAATAGTGTTCAGGCTTAAAGCAAAATTGGATGCAGATTCGTTGCTCTGCTCACTCAGTCGTTTTGAATGCAGTGGCCGCACAGTGCACATGCTCACTCAGTGCCATCTACTACCCCCACTGACTAGTCAGTGAAGTCGTCATTGTTCACGCATGAGCGTTCCAGTCCACTCTCCGTGGCTGCCAGGTTACATCCATGTCGTGCAGACTGTTCTCATTATATTAACAATGGCTGGGCTTTTTCTGGACAGACCTCGTACATAAGAATAGATGAGAAAGACGACTTGACCTGAGTTTCTAATTTCCTGTTTTGAAATCAAATGTATGGTCTATGATGTCTCTT